AGCTTCAGCACATTCAAGTCTTGAGCTCAAGACTGCTAGCCGCAAGGTGTGGTATCAGCCGACAGAGTTGATGAGTCCAATTAGCTAATATGATTAAACCTCACCAGCCATTAGCAAACTGACACATAATCCATGCTTGATAAGATCAAGAGTAATAATGTATACCACAAATTATAGATATTTGTTCTTTTGATATGGAAAACTCACTAGGTCAATTAGTTCCTGGCAGATGTGGTTATGTCTCTATATGTATAGGTACCATTTTCTTGAACAATGATGGGCCTGAACAGCAGTTTACCGAGGTTCCACATCAGGACTTGCACTGCTCCATGTGATTTGTGAACTCTGCAGCGCCAGCATCAGGCCATGGTAAACCTGCGCTGCACGGTGTGCTGACTGAGTGCCTCCACACTGATGAGATCTTGCAAATATCATCATACTTTGCAGTTTGGGCTGGACTCTTTTTAGTTCCTGCTGCTGAGATCAGCTGAGACTGCTAATGCTTATTTCCACAGAGCACAACTATTTGTACATGGGTCAGGCTACTAGGGAGTTGTCAACATGCTTTACTTATTTAGTGATTCACACAGTCAGTTGTCTTGACAGGAATGTTCTCTTTTTCAGGAAAGGCATAACTGGACAGTGGAACTAAGTGGATGGTGACTTTGAGAAGCCTATACCACATTTATCAAAAATAGAAGTGACAAAACAGGTGTTCAAGCACATCAAATATCCCTTAAAGACTGTCATTAAAAGCAGGGGCCAAAACCCACCCAAAGTTGGGCTACTTTGAGACACCAGCAGCCTCTCATTGCTAGCGCCATGCCGTGCGAGGTGATCACCCTCCAGCTGGGCCAGTGCGGCAACCAGATCGGCTTCGAGTTCTGGAAGAAACTCTGCGCCGAGCACGGCATCTCCCCCGAGGGAGTTTTAGAGGAGTTTGCCACCGACGGCCAGGACCGCAAGGACGTGTTCTTCTACCAGGCTGACGACGAGCACTACATTCCCCGCTCGGTCCTGCTGGATTTAGAGCCGCGCGTCATCCACACGATCATGTCGTCGCCGTACGCCAAGCTCTACAACCCGGAGAATGTCTACATCTCAAAACACGGCGGCGGTGCAGGAAACAACTGGGCGTCTGGCTTCAGTCAGGGAGAGAAACTTCAGGAGGAGGTGTTTGATATCATTGACCGCGAGGCGGATAACAGTGACAGCCTCGAGGGATTTGTTCTGTGCCACTCCATTGCCGGAGGTACCGGCTCAGGCATGGGATCGTTCATCCTCGAAAACCTCAACGACCGCTTCCCCAAGAAGCTGATCCAGACGTACTCGGTCTTCCCGAGCCAGGACGAGATCAGTGACGTCGTCGTTCAGCCTTACAACTCCCTCCTGACGCTGAAGCGTCTCACTCAGAGCGCGGACTGTGTGGTTGTACTGGATAATACCGCTTTGAACCGGATCGCCGTGGATCGCCTCCACATCCAGAACCCTACCTTTGCGCAGATCAACTCTCTCGTCTCGACGATAATGTCGGTCAGCACCACGACTCTGCGCTATCCGAGCTACATGAACAACGATCTTATCGGTCTCATCTCGCCACTGATTCCCACACCGAGGCTGCATTTTCTGATGACGGGATACACGCCTCTGACTACCGATCAGGTTAGTGTAGTCTGGGGGAGATTGCGTGCTAAGGAGAGGATGGGGAAGGGAGCCGATGGGTTGTGTTGGGGAATATGAGAGGATTGCTGAGGGGTGAGGGTTCATGGGAGGGGAGAAATCTATGAGATGGGTGCTAAGGAGAGGAAAGGGAAAGATATCGGTGTTGAGGAGCTGGTTGAAAGTCGGCCTTAAATTTGTATTAATCCTCTAATTCTTTGCTCATGTCAAATCGAATCACGGAGCTATTTTCAGAACTACTAACACTGAACATTGCGTCTCCCCATGCTCACCAAACTATCTCCCTCTCTCCACGTTCACCCTCGCCTCCCCCTCACCAACAGGTGGTGACCTCAGTTCGGAAGACCACCGTCCTGGACGTGATGCGTCGCCTGCTGCAGCCCAAGAACATGATGGTGAGCACGTCAGCAGAGAAGAACCTGGCGCACTGCTACATCTCCATACTGAACATCATTCAGGGGGAGGTGGACCCCACGCAGGTCAGTAAACTTCTGATCAGATCAATTCAGATGAGATGAGATCGGTGTACCTAGTCAAATTCGAGGTAGTTTTTCTTGCCGTAGTTTTTTCTCAAATATTCGTAATACGTGCTTGTCGCTTGGGAAACACAGCGTCGTTGTCGTTCATGCAAATTATTGACGGATATGGCTGGACCACGAATGCTATCGACGAAAACATGTTTATTTTTTTCTCGCCGTTTCAATCATGACTAAGTCGGTGACCGTATGCTATCCCAACTCCCAAGGACCGCGGATGCTTCATGAGAGCTTTGTCATGTCATTGTCCGGCCTTGTAGTTCGTTCTCGGCTCCAACACCCCTCCATACCACCTACTAACACATCTCTTCTCACCTCGACAGGTGCACAAGTCGCTGCAGCGGATCCGTGAGCGGAAGCTGGCCCAGTTCATCCCCTGGGGGCCGGCCAGCATTCAGGTGGCCCTCTCCAGAAAATCTCCCTACATCCAGTCTGCCCACCGCGTGTCGGGACTCATGCTGGCCAACCACACTTCCATCAGCTCTCTCTTCGCACGCACCCTGCAGCAGTATGACAAGCTGCGGAAGAGGGAGGCTTTCTTGGAGCAGTTTAGGAAGCAGGAAATGTTCGCGGAGAGTTTGGAGGAGTTGGATAACTCCAGGGAGGTGGTGCAGAGTTTGGTGGATGAGTACCTGGCGGCCACGAGGGCGGACTATCTGAACTGGGGTATGGAGAGGCTCACGGGAGCCGTGTGAGTGGTGTGGAGTGGACACAAGGTGGAAGTGGACTGGTGCACGGTGGAAGTGATGTGGACGCTAACTGGTAACGCTGTGGCCTGTGGACCGATGTGGACACGTAGTAACACACTGTGGAATTGAGTGGACAAGTGGAGCGCCATACTGAGGAGTTGTGTGGACACAGTTGAACAATGTTGAGCGATTTTCACACAGTGGAATGTTTAGTGATGAAGAGGTGAGTTGGCATCGTGAGGACTTTCCAAGGATTGTTGAGTGAAGTTGAGAGGACGCAGAATGGGACGCTGTTGAGTGGGCATACCGGAATGGGAAGAGTGAGTGAAAACGCTGAGTGACGAAAGGTGAATGGAGTTAGGTGAAAATGGTGCCATGGAGTGGATCTCAACTCTCGGTGGTTAAAAAGAGTGGAGTGACTGGAACGGTCGTAATGAATGGGAATGAGAAGGAGGCATTGAAATGTAGGCGGCTTGCCTCGAGATTCTGTCAAAGGTGCCCGGGTTCGACCTGTATTCTGAACTTAGTTCGGGACGGTGAACTGTGCGTCAGTGATGGCAATGGATAGCGTTGATCCACCCGTGCTCCAGGATGCAGTGCAGCTAGTGGGGGGCTAACCCTGGCTGTGCCGGACAGCTGCCGTCGCCGCTCAGCACCCAGACGCGGTTCATCCGGTGCAGTGCTTCCAGCAAGTTAGACGTTACTAACGAGAAGACTCACGACGTCACAAAGCTGTCGTCTTGAGGACAGACGGTTACACATTCCGCTTGGGGCGTGTATGTTGAAGTTATAGCTCAGTACTGGCCTAACCTGAGAAGTAACGTGACATGTAGCTAAGTGACGTAATGTGTAACATTTGTGACGTAAGTGTAACATTAGTGTTGTAACGTGTAGCACCCGACTCGTCGATACATTTTGCTCCATGCGGCCCTGCGAATTTGGACTTCAGACAGCGACAGTCACGCTACGGACTCTGCTGTGGAGAGAGACTCACGTTGTTGTAGGTTCTAGCTACCTGGTTACACGCTGCGGTGATAGCTTGGCTCGTTAAGTGCGATTTTGGGTGACGCAGCATAAGCGTTGTGCGCTGAGGCTTTGAGCGTGCCTGAAAGCTGGGCGTTGGTGGCTAAGAAAGCTACAAACGCTGGCAAGCTTTTGTGATCTCGCATTCGTGAAAAGCCTGTCTGTTGTCGCCCGTTTTTCGTGCCAAAAATCGGCGACATTCGTAGAATTGCATCAGTCTCGCGAAATTCACCGATAATCAAACAAAGCAAACATGTTTGCCTTACCAGACGAACGTAGCAACTTGTTTGTGTCTGAAATTCCAGTGTCTTGTGGGCGGTAAAACGATTATTTCAGATCTTGCGCGGCATGCTGTCACGCTCGCTTACGGAGACATGGTTGTAACTCGGGGACCGTTGACACCCCTAACTCCACTCGTAACTCGGCTGATGCGGTGTCGCCTGACTCGCTGGAGTTTCCACGTGCGGCGCTGTGGTGTAACAGTGAAGTTAACGTGCGTCGTGCCCGTAGTGTCCGATAGCTGGTCGAGGAGGGCACAATAATTCCTGGAATAAAACTCAACGTAGTTCTATTTTTGTAAGATAAACAATTACTCATGTTTTATGTGTATTCTCGTAAGAAGTTCACAAATCAGAAACAGTCTTCCGTTATTTCTCTTCAACAATTATAAATATCAACAGGTTAGCAATACTTTTAAAAGTCGTGTCTATTCTACCTTTTCACCAATGAAAGCGTTAAACATATGATAGAAATGCTCCCGCTATCTACATAGCAAACAAACATTGTCTAGTTGACAGGCGGGTCACAGCGCAGTGTACATACAATGGTAACATAGGCGGCGGAACGGGGGGGGGGGGCACCGGGGCACCGTGCCCCCCCCTTGAATTCTGTAAGGGGGGCACCAATAGCAAGGTGCCCCCCCCTTAAATTTGATGTAGGTATTAGTACCAGGGGCGGATTCGGGAAAACTCCAAGGGGAGGGTCATGAATCGAAGTGGTGCCCCTACCTATACCCAAAATTAAAACCTCAACAGATTTCGGCCACTTAATTTTGGTGGTGCCCTATTTTCAGTTTTTTATTTTCTTTATTTTTGGTTAGTCGTGTGATGACTGGTGCCCCTGCTAGGCTGCTGGTGCCCCTGGAAAGACTGTGGTACCTACCTACCCTGCCCCCTGACAAGTCTACGGTGGGCCCTGCACATAACTTAGGTGCCCATGGGCCCTGACAGGCCCGTGGTGCCCCTGACAGGCCTGTGGTGTCCTTGCTAGGCCTGTGGTGTCCCTGGGCCTTGGCAGGTCTGTGGTGCCCCTGACGAGCCTGTGGTGCCCCTGTTAGAACGCAGGTGCCCTTGACAGGTTTGTGGTATCCCTGACAATCCTAAAGTGCCAACGACAGGCTTGTGGTGCCCTTGACAGGCCCATGGTGCCCTTGCGAGGCCGGTGGTTCCCCTGCGAAGCCGATAGTGCCCCTGGCAGGCCTCTGGTGCCCCAGGCAGGCCTCTGGTGCCCCTGGCAGGTCTGTGGTGCCCCTGGAAGACCTGTAGTGCTTTTGCTAGGCCGATGGTGCTCCTGACAGGCCTGTGGTGCCACTGACAGGCCCGTGGTGCCTCTGCTAGACCTGTGGTACCCCTGGCGGGTCTGTGGTGCCCCTGTCGGCTGTCAGGCCTGTGGTGCTCCTGGCAGGCATGTGGTGACCCCAGGCCCAAAGTCATGACCCATGTGACCTCCCCCCTGGGATTCGCCACTGATTAGTACTGCGATGGCTTCTTGGTAATTTGATACATGTAGGATTAATGGAATTTATCAAACGAGAATAAGGAAGAGACAAACACATAGGTACTTGAGGATCAGCTTCAAGTTAACCACACGTACGGGGGTGAACTGCCATTTTCGTTTAGTAAAAAAAAAATAATAATAAATAAAAAATCATGGTGTCAGGGCTGTGACGAAAAATAAGTGGCCTAAATCCGATGAGAAAACCGGATTTGGGGGTACCCTAGGTTTGGCTCCTTGAGCTGGTGCCCCCCCTTGTCTCAAATCGTTCCGCCGCCTATGAATGGTAATCTCGATGCCATAACCGGTAGTGACATTGTAAAACGCCTTGCTTTGGCGCTCAACTTTTTTGTGACCCGACGGGCCTGTCCTGTCATTCGTAGCAGTACCGACGAAATTGCATCGATTCGGACTTGATGGTGTAGTATATGTCTATAAGCATCTATCTTGCATAACTAATGAACAGTGACTTCTGCACGCTAAAAGATAAAAAACGACGTCCAAGATCCTCTTTGGTCAATCTTTTGATTGACGCTCATCGCGATGTTTCGACACATCACACAATCCTTCATATGGAACGATGATCCCTAATGCCGGTGAGTTCCTTGGCTGATTTTTGGCACGTGCAGCGCAGTTACAGTCGGGTTCTGCGTCTGAATCCGGAGAAAACTCCCGAGATTGCCGAGGCCAGGGAGTTGAGTCCGCCGGTGATGGCATTTGAGGCGTCGGCAACCATTCCTTGCACCTGGCGGCAGAACAGGAAACTAGTCGTTACAATACTGCTTGTAGAGGACGCGCAGGCCTCAAAACAATTTGCCCTAAAAGCGAATGCTCCAGTGACCGATGAATATGTGAACTTCAAGCAAAACATTTCGCCCGTCAATCAAATTGGTCTTACAAGCGTACATGATTATTATTTGGCTTTCACCACGATCTTTTTTTGCATATTACGTTAGAGTACCGTTTCAGAGCACCACTAGCGAACTACGGTTCCATAAATCAGTTTCATGACTACGGTATTGACAGGATTGATACTCTTCTCCCACTGCCGTCCCCTCTTATAACTCACCCTCTCGACGATGCCCCGGTTGGTGTCGAGGTCGAGCAGGGCCTGGTCGGCGCTCAGACACCGCTCGTGCACCACCGGCTCGAACTCGTTCTCAATCTGATTGGCGATCAGCATCGAGCTCACCTGAGGTCAAAGGCGGGTCAGGGTGAGGTCATACCAGGTCAGGGCGTAGCCATAGGCAATATTTGAAAATTCGTGGTCTGTGATGATGCTAATTTGATGACTTAACGCTATATTTTGAGCATGATTGAGGAACCGACGATTGACAGATTAACCCGCGCCCTGCTGGGGGTCCTGGATTTCCACGCCCTGCTGGGGGGGGGGGGTGTTTGAACACCCCCCCCTTCTAACTCGGCTCCTGGGCCACGTAGCGATACGCGGAAGGCGGCGTTCGAAAGAGCGTCAAAAATAATGAGGAAATCACTTCTGTCAATTTTTTGGTCAGGTCAAAGGTCAGGTCACCAGAGGTCATTGAAGGCAAAATTTCGCCGATTTCCAGGTCGAATGTCAAAACTTTCCAAGAAGCCAACGCATAACTCGGGAACCAATAGAGCTACAGCGCCGCGGAAAAGCGCATTCGATAGCCCTATTAACGCCCTTTCTGAGTAATGTTCTCAGATTTGACCTAACGTCAACGGTTTTGCCTGCAGGGGGCAAAAACTGCAAAAATAGCCGATTTTTTTCGGAAACAGTTTTTCTGCAATAACTTTTGACCCAAGCCTTGTACGAGCTTACTTTTACCGGCATCGTGCTCCTCTCGTCAAGACGCATCGAATGAACTATAACTTGACCTTGAAAGGTCAACTTGAAAATTTGACCTCAGGTCAAGGTCATGACCTGACCGGAAAGGGTCATGTTGCATATCAGTCGATCCGTATCGTCGAGCTGAACACATCTAAGGCGTTTTCATCGCTCTAGCATGCCTCTATCAAAAGTTATTTGCGAAAAACTGTTAGATACCATTCGTGACCTAAGATGACCTCAGGGCATAAACAGGGGTCACGGACACCATTTTCATGTTCAGTGTGTCTAAACCACTTGTAATCCAGTGTTTGGGAGTGTTTATAATGTCTTTCGTCCAAAAGAGGCGCATTTCAATTTTCTCCCATTGACTTATAATGGGGAGGTCGCAAAATTGACCTGACCTTAGGTCATCGATATCAAAATTCTGAGATATACATTTTGTACATGCTATTGCTTGTAGCAATCGCTGAAAGTTTGAAAGCGATCGGTCACTCGGTGTAGCTATGACAGACATTGAAACTTTTTATGAGGTGAGGTCACTTCAAGTGACCTGGTGACCTGACCTTGAATGACCTTGGTCTGAAATTTTCACAACATGTGTAGAATTGATGTATGATAAGGTGTACCAAAAACGGCGGCGCTCCGCGCCGCCGTTTTTGAGATATTCGCGAAAAACCACAAGGGGGGGGGGGTGTTCAAACACCCCCTCAGCAGGGCGCGGGTTAACATGTCCGTTTAACTTATAGGCCATGTGCCATGTGTATAAAAAAATGCAAAGGCTTGCGTCAAATTGAGAATAAATTTTCTTATAATATGAAAATTGACATCTCAACACTTCTTATTATAGCAGACTAGTAAGTCGAAGACCATTGGTATTTGCCTGACTCATCCATAGCATTTTATCGTCTCCCTTCCCTCTCGCCCCCCCCCCTCTCTCTCTCTCTCTCTCTCTCTCCGCCTCTCTCTCTCTCTCTCCCTCTCCGCCTCTCTCTCTCTCTCTCTCTCTCTCTCTCTCTCTCTCTCTCTCTCTCTCTCTCTCTCTCTCCCCTCCCCTCCAACTCACCCGTTCCACCTGGGACAGTGCGATGGACGAGCTGTTCTGTTTCCTGCTCAGGAAGTACACATCCCGCCGGTGGTAGAGGGACAGCGCTCCCACCGTGATGTTCTCACATGTGTAGACGGCCGCGAACGAGTCGTAGTCCGTGTCCAGAACGGCGTACTCGGCCACACGCTGGTCTGAGGACAGGGGTAGAAAATGTTAGTCGGGCCATCTTTATTAACGAGCCTGGAGCTTTCTGCTATACTGAGAACGCAAAATTGTCGTTTGTTTCTGGTGTTTAGGTTCTTCCGCCCAAATGATTTCAGGGGAAGAGGTCCTGTTATTAGACACGAGGGAAGACGTGAGACTGAGTCAACCACCGGCTGGTGCGCCGCACCGGCCGATAGCGTCTGGTTTGACATACCTACATGCACTGGTTTGAACCACTCAGTGCAGTGACCACTCAGTGACCATTCAAGCGGTCACCCGAGGGGCCATCCCCTATGGAGACTTCTCCACTGGTCACGCTCATTGGATGAAAAGAAGACGGTTCAGTTTCCAAAGTGATTCGTTTCTTCAACCCTGAATTCTCAACTTACCGCTGGATGAAGCCTGGGGCTTCGGCACGTACTGAAATTCCTCATTCCGTGTTATTTTATCGTGTATTCCTAAGCATTTAAGCAACGGCCTCCGTTTGATCTACGGAATATCGCGTGCTCTCAAACATTCGGAGCATACCTATGAAACTGCGGGTGCCTCAGTTGTGAGCATATCCCAAGGAAAGATCAAAGACATGCCATCCTGATCCTTTACTAATGTTTGTTCAAATTGGTGCTCCTATGGTTCGGGGCCTACTAGCCGGACCTTCCTGTGACAAGGTCACATATTTACTCGGCTTTCGTGGGGAACGCCGTATCATTTTTCTTAATTATTTAACCGAGAGTTCAAATGGTTGATTTTCCTGCCGCAAATCGAGGTCCTTGGTTATGCTAAATGTCACATTGCACGTAACCAGTAACTCTTGTTTTGGCATACTAGCTCGCATGTTAGGTAAGGGTATGTTCAAAAACATCAGGACCTTGACGATCGACCAGTGTGGCATCTTGTTAACATTTTTGTCGCATTCGTTTGTTGCTAAGTCTTGTTGTCAACGTGTAACACTGTTTTGTAAGCCTCTAGACATAGGTTTGTCGCCGTCAGACGATAGCGTGATCGTGAAATAACGTGATCGTGAAAAGGCGTTGTCGTGGAATTGATACGTCTTGACCGGTATGTTCGCCGTAGGAGTCACTGAAAAAACGGTAAAATGTTTTTTTTTTTTTCTGTTTTTTTCACTTTATTTTCAATACAACATAACATTTTCATGCGCACACTTTGGTTTTACACTTAGCATACATTACATTACACATTAGGTAAAACATTGCATACTTCCATTACACACACATTTTTTCCTGCCCCGCCCCGCATCGCCCCGCGAAATTACACATATTCCCGTTCTCGCTGGGGCGATGCCCCAGGCCGCCGGCCGGGCCCGCGACCCGTCAACCCGATAGGTTGGCGAGCCGCGCGCCCGGCCGGCCGGCCGACCCTTGATAGTGTCGGCCTCCGGTTAGCCGGGTTGGGTTAGGGGCGGGCAGGACCTGAACTACTTTTTCCCGCGGCTCCATCGTCCTCAGCTATAGGGACAACACTACGGAAACAAACACCATCGTGCGTGCACAAACACCGGTCGTGGTGGCTGTTGCCACCCCGACCTCTGCCCCCGCCCGCGCCGCCCCGCACCTCGGTGCGTCTACTCACGCGAGGCGGCGCCCCCTAACCGCCGGCCCGCCCCACGGGCCACAGGCGGTCCGAGGGACGGGCCGGCGGCCCGGCCTGCCCAGCATATGCTGGGGGGCCGGGCACGGGTTGGCCCGGATGGGGTAGGGCGGGGGCCTTTCGCCTCATAGGGAGACGCCCGTTTCAAGATCGAGCTGCGACCATTTACCGGCAAAAACACCCATTGTTTCATTTATTTGAGCCCAATACTTTTCACTTTCTTTATCAGCTTGGAGATAGCCCTGAAGTGTGAATATCGATGGGTTTCTGTTGGATTGCAAAATTTGAGTACCTATACTGATTAAATGATTTGCAAGTTTGTCATTGCCCTCTCCTAGTAGCACTTCTTTCATACGTATTTTCTCTGTAATTCTGGTAAGGTTTTTTAAGTCGAGCCAGTTCTTCAACTCTAACCATAGGCTTTGTGCTCTACGGCAGTACCAAAATTTGTGGGAAATGTCTTCGAGCTGGTCGCAGTGATCACACTTTCCCGATTCCTTTATGTTCATTTGATTTAACAGTTTGTTTGTGGCAGCTATTCTAGTAATCATTTTATACCTTAGACCCCTATATTGTGATGGAGTTTCCATTAAAGATCCGTACACCTCGGTCCAATTTACGTCTGGTATAACACTCTCCCATTTGCTCTCCCATTTATTGCGATGACTTTTTGTTTTATTTTTTGATAATATTTCGTGTAAGTGACTAGAGCGGGTCGATGGATCAATGATGAATCCAATCTTTGGATCTATGATTGGCTGGGTAATTTTCTTTTTTCCTGTAGAACTGACCCACTGTTCTGGCAGACTTCTTAATAAGGATGCATACTCCAGGAAGTTCACCTTCAACGAGAATGAATTTCTAAATTCTGCGATGTTCATTAACGATCCATCCACTTTGAGCAGATCGTTCAATGTCCTTACCCCATGTTCGTACCATTGGCATATCCATGAATCTTTAAACTTTGTGTAATTAGAGAAAAAGATATTGCTTGCGGTTATATCACTTATGTCCATTTGGAAGCACTCTTTAAAATCAGCCAGGGCTAGCATAACCTCCTTCCAAAACTGGTTCCTTATACCGGGAGCTTTTTTCCTTATAGCGATTGCTTCCATTTGCCATACGGGTATCGATTTTTTCAGGACATTTTCTGCAATGCTGACCCATGCACTGTTCTTTGACACGAGTCTCTTTAGCCAGCTAATTTTTAAGGCAGATATATACGTTTTGAAATCTATCATTCCTACACCTCCTGATAAGGCTGTTTTTTCCAGAGAGGCACGGCTAATTCTTTCATTCTTTCCATGCCAAAGAAACTTATATAACAATGTCGTCAATTTCTTTATTACTTCTAAGGATGGATTCGGAATAGAAATCAAAAGATAGCTTATCTTGGACAGCATCAATGACTTAATCACAGTTACCTTTCCATGTAATGTTATATTGCGATTCATCCACTTATCTATTTCTCGTTTGATCTCAGTAATCTTGTCCATGTACACCTCACCCGTCTTTTGCAGATTAGAATCGAAAGAAACACCCAAAATTTTGAGCGTTCTGCTCCATTGTATTTCGATATTCCTCTCTAGTTCTGTTCTGTGGCTGCAGGGTGCTCCTATCCACATCGCTTTTGTTTTGTCTATGTTTGGCTTCAACCCAGAGAATTTGGCGAACCAACCAAGCTCACTGAATAGTGCATTAAAACTTTGCAATTTAGGTTTCAGGAAACAAACAGTATCATCCGCATACATTGCTATTTTTACATCCGTCCCTGCTGGTTTCAGTCCCTCAATGTCTCGATTTTGCTCAATTTTCCTTTCCAGTATGTCCATTACTAATATAAAGAGATAACAACTTAATGCATCGCCCTGCCGACATGATCTACCTAGTTGGATTTCGTCTGACAGGTGACCATTATAAAGGACTCTTGCAAATGCCCCCTTATACAGCGTATCAAACCACTGTATTATATAAGGCGGAAACTTCCTAAACTGTAGTACGTCTCTGATGAATCTCCAGCTGACAGAGTCAAAGGCGGCTTCTATGTCGAGACTCAGAAGGATACCTGATGCGTGCTCATCTTGCATGCATTGAATCGTATCGTAAATAAGCCTTATGTTATCTCCTATAAACCTATTTTGGAGGAAAGCAGTCTGATTTGCGGCAATTATGTCGTTTAGTACAATTTTTAATCTGTTTGCGATCGTAGCAGATATAATCTTATAGTGCACGTTAAGCAACGTTATAGGTCTATACGACTGTACTAACTCACGTGGTTTGCCTGGTTTTGGGAGCAGTACGACTATTCCCTCCTTCATTGTTTTTGAGACAGACCCCTTGCGAAAGCAATGCTCACACATTGTTATAAAAAATGACTTTAAATCAGCCCAGAAAAATTTGTAGAATTCTACTGTGAAACCGTCACTACCGGGGGAAGTTCCATTTTTCATACGCATGAGCGTCTTCCCTAACTCTTCGACAGTGATTGGCTTTTGCAACTCACATTTCTCTTCCGGCCCTATATTTCTAGTTTCTATGTCATTTAAATACTCGCTGCACTCATCCTCGTCTAATGTAACATCTTTGTTGCTAAACTTGTTCTGGAAAAATTCTTTGAAGGCTCTTAAGATTTCTGTTTGAGATTCTTTAATACCGCCCCTGGTTTTTAAATACGCAATCCTCTTGCTGTCAAATCTCCTTTTCTCTAGCGTTAAGAAATACTTTGACGGCTTCTCAGAGAGTTGCCTCCAAATTGCTCTCGATCTAATAACGCTTCCCTTGAGCCTATGCTCCCTTAGATGTTCCAATTCCCTTTTTTGTTCCTGCAATTCCTCCATTTTCTCGGGATCTCCAAAGAGATCCACTTCTCTCTCACTCATTACAATGGAGGCTTGTAATTCTTCCTCTCTTTTCCGCTCGGTTCTCCTTTTATTGATTCCGAAAGAAATCGTTTCCCTACGTATAGTAAGAAGCAAAACTTCAAAGAAAAGGGAAGGGTCTATCGACATTTGCACTGTCGATGGATTTAAGTCTACATATTTCGGTTCGTAAACTGGGAGTGCATATTCACGAACTACCTCAAGTACCGGGCTTCTCACAAAAGTCAGATGAATTTTTAATTAATATATTTTAGGATGTGTCAGTGTTACAAAAATAAATCAGGTATCACCTGAAAGCCTGGTTAAAGATGTTTTGTTTCAGGGGATTTCGACCGTCGGCGATCGCCTTACTGAGCCGCGCCAGACCTGTTCGAGATGACCCCCGTTTCGCTCGATGCAAAGTTAAGCCCGGCGCAGCGCGGCCTCTGTTGCAGCACGGCACACGGAAGGTGGCAGCTGCGCACTACCGACGACCTCACTGCACCCTTCAGGTCTTTGGGACTTCTTGGGTGGTTTCGGTACACCTGGGACTTGAGGTGGTCCTACAGGAAAAAGCCCGGTGGGGTCAAGTCCGGGGAGCTCGCTGGTCACAGATGTGTCTCAAACCTCGAGATCACACGCTGCCCGGAGCGCTCCTGCACTCACTCCCGGTTTTCTTTAGCGGTATTGGCCGTGGAAACGTCTAGTCTAGCTGGAACTATTGGCATTTGAGTGCGTCAGGATCGCTGCCCATTGTGGTCTGCAGGACACTACAAAAATTTGTCAGGGTCATCCGGAATCGCTGACCGTTGACAGCCTGGGTAGCGCATCTCTCACACGAGCGACGTTCACCGGGGTTCTTTGATTGGGTTTGCGGCCGCCGCTATGTTCTTTGAACCAGCAGTTAACATTTCCTCGGCCCAGAAACTTTCAACAATGTGGAATATAACATTTCAAGATGGTGTTCACTTTGCAAGAAAACAAGATTGCGGAAGTTCCGTTGTGTTGAAACGACCGACTTATTCTGAAAGTAGAATTTCTTTGAGCTTGCTTTTGCTTCTTAAGACCACAGTCTCATTTTTTAAACTCAACAAGTATGGTATCATATAAATCTCCCAAAAAATTTGCTTTCTATTCACGTGCATTTGTTTCGTTTAAATATTGTTTCCAGTCCACTATCTGCAAAAGAAATTGGTCCGACTTTTGTGAGAAGCCCGGTATAGTCTGCTTTACAACTTTGACGTACCTTTTATCATTTAAGAGGGAAGCATTAAATTTAAACAGGCCCCTTCCTTTAGTTTGTTGCGTTAAATTCATATCTAGCGTTACTATCGAGTGGTCAGATCGATACCCTGGTAAAATATCAGTTTTCGTAATGTACCCCTCCAGACTTTTACTAATAAGAAACATATCGAGCCTTGCTTGTTTAACAGGTGGACCGTTAACTCTCCATGTGAACCGTTTAGCATCGGGGTTTTTCATTCTGTAAATATCAATGAGATCTTTCTCAGACATAATCTTCTTAACACATTCTCTCGCTCTCGTGTTGTTATGTCGTCGATAGTTGAAATTATCCTGGTTCTGAACAAGCGTTAAATTGAAGTCCCCACCAATTATTAGGGGAACATTTTCGTCTGCAAAAACGGTAAAATGTTGGTTTAGTGTTTACGTAATGTGTTTTGCCACGCAGAGTTGCTCAGTAGTTGACTGGAATGATAAGCTGTACCGCTTAGCACGCAGATTATCAAATTATGCAGCTTATGCTCTTTCCATCTCACTCACAACGGACATGTTTTCAATCTGCGTGATAAGCGACATAGCCAGTCATTCCAATAAGCATGGTGGTCTGTGACTTGTGAGGCGTGGAACATTATTATGTAATACTCCTCGTAACTGAATTAATTAGACCGCATCCGGCGTGTGAACTGCCAAGGATGCAACGACCACAAATGGTGACACGGGAGGAGGGTGACAGGTGAAACCACCCGCTGGGGGTCACCTGAGTTGTCATGTCATCAGTTGTCAGCTGAAGACGCAGCGGGTGGCCCCGTCAGAGAGCACCTGACACTTTAGTGGGGGGGGGGGGATTTACTTTCTACTTGTTCATTCGCATTCTATACTGACTAGACTTTTGTTACTCACTGTCGTTGAAGGTGGCCACCATCCTGGCGGGCTGGTCGATGTCGAACCTCAGCAGTCCAGCGGCCCGGTACACGTTCGACACGCCAAACGTGCTGATGAGACTGAGCTGCTTCTGCTCCTGCACGTGCAGGCAGCCGGCGCCGCACGAGGTGTAGTTGAAGCGCAGGCACGAGGCGTCCGGATCGAACGCGCTCAGAACGAACCATTCGCCGACAAACTGAAAGGGAGGAGAGGAGAGAAGTTAGGCGGGGGCCCGATGACCTATCACTGAGAAAACAGTGTCCCGATTTTCGGGCTCAGAGACCAGTTTTCGGGCTAATGTACCATATTCAAAACAGACAGCACATTTCGAGAATACTTTCTGAGCTAGCGCCACATGGGCTCATACGATCCCTTAAATCGGTATCATTGATCGCAGAAACAGAGCTCAGTCAGTACCCATTATCGGTGTCAAGCTCTAAAACTAGTCTCACTATGATACCAGTTTTCAGCCTGATCCCCATTTTCGAGCTCACCTGATTCCAGTTTGAGGGCTCAGATTGTGTGGTGAAGCCAATATTAGGGCTCACGTCATCGCTTTTCGGGGCTTTGGTAAAAGCTGGATTGCGTCAGCTGGCTGGCCAGCTGGCGACGCACGAAAGGTATTTAATTTTAGATATACCTAAGCGCGGTAGTAGGATGGACATAAATATTTCAAATGGCTTTAAATGAAAAATTGATTGGTAAATATTCATTCTTTTATATCTAGCATTGATATGTAAGAAGCTCTGCTAGCGCCACCATACGGCGCCAGCTGGCAAAAAATCCAGTCAATACCAGAGCCCGCTTTTCGTCCGATGCAGCCCCTCCTCCCCCCTCCCCCCTGTCCAGCAGCTGCGAATAAGACGAAGCCGCGGACAAACTTTTTTTTTGCTCGGCCAGCCTAGCGCCAGTCTCGAGCGGTGGGACAGTTAACCGGCAATTTTGGCCGGGATGCAAAAGTTACGTTAAACCGGTTTATGTTAACCCGGGAGCAAATAACAACGTGGGAGCCTATCTTAGGTGTGGCAAAGCTAACGGATTACTTACTTGTTGCCGAGGTGCCCAAAGAAGGTACTGGAACCGAAAACACAACATTGGTTCATGTATTTATTAACATTCATACACACAGTCATACTTGTGCAAGGTGTCAGTGTTCGGTTGTGGGGTGTAATAGCCAGGGAAAAAGTTCTATGAACTGAAAAACCCGGCGCCTATTACTTCGCAACATGGTTGTGTATTCAACATGAACTGCAAGGAGTGCAGACGACATTGCCTGTGCTAACTTAACGTCTCACGGGCAGCGCCGCGCTCTGACACCTTGGTCCCAGAAGCGGCGGCGTTTCTGACCGCAAATCGCCGGAGAGCCGGTCGACGCCGTTGAGGGGACTGAGCAGGCCGCTGCCAGCTCCACCTTCACGTTCGCGCGGCGCAGCTCGGTGTGCGGCGGCGGCTCATCGCGCGGGCCGCACCCGTCCGTCCGCTGCACGAGCCGCTTTTCGATCCGACAGCGCAACACCGGCACGCCATTGTGCTGGCTGAGCGGCGGCAGCGGCACGTAGGCAACAAAACAGTAGAAATCGATGGGCCTGGATCGGCGTTGCCAGCAACGCCGGCAGCGGCGCGGCGGGAGGCGCCAGTGCCGCCGTCGGGGACGTGTGCCCTTCGCTGCGCTCATTCGAGTTGGCCGGCCGGCCGCGCGGCGTAGTCCTTTTGACACGGTGCGAGAAGAGCCGGATGAAGGTGGACTTTTTATTGGCGTTGCTGGTGCTCACGCCGCCGGCGTCCAGTTTGGGCGGCAAGTCCGAGTACCAGGAGTCGGACAAGTCCCGCGCGAACGCCGCCAGCCGGTCGTCGTCACTGCTGGCGGCGGCCCGCCGACGGCGCTGCCTCAGAATCGGACGAGTCGGTGGTACTGAGCACCTCGCGGGACGGGTAGCTGGGAGTGGGCCGGCCGCGGCCCCTGCCAGGCCGCGCCACCTTCACCGGCGCAGCCGCCTTCAAACTGCCCTTGCTGGGCGGCGGGTTGGTCGGCGGAGGCGGCAGCGGTGCCTCGACGTCAGTCCGAGTCGCTGTCACTGGGCGGCCGCCGCGGAGACGGCTTCTGTTTGACCCGCAGCCGGCCTGGGCCGGCTCGGCGCCCTCGGCCGGCGGCGCGCGCCGTTTCGAGCGTTTCACCTTTTCACTGTTACTCTCGCCTGGTCCTCAGCGTCGAGCGGCTCGGCGCTGTTCGGTTTCATGTGGCCCATGCTGCTGGGAAACTCGGGTGGGGACAGCTTTCTGACTGGAGTGCCGTCGAAGATGGAGGAGACGGGGGTGCTCGCAGAGTCCTTGCCCAATGCCCATGATAGAGCCGAGGCTCCACTGGACGCCCAGCTTAATCGGGCTATCGCCGCCCTCCTTCTATGGTGGATTCTTCGGCCCCCTACAGCCACTAGGGCCATCATATACTCCCAGATGGCGGCACCTAGGGGATGAGGGGGGGGGGTGTCTGGGCCACTTGTCCACCTCGTGGCGTCGCCAGCGACGCCTGCGAGTCGGAGCAAATGATTATGGGGTCTTCCTCGAAGGACGGGTGCTTCAGGAGATGTTGCTTTGCCGTTTTGGGCGCCACCATCTCAGATCGGTAAATGGAGCAAATCCTCCCCGCCGCCTCCCGCAGTACCAATGTTGTACTGTCTGGGTGCTCGGTGAGGACCCCAGCGCCGCCTTCCTATTACTCCCCCGGTCGCAGACCCGTCGACCCAGGCCCACGTCGCACGCTGGGGGAGCGCTCCCAGTCACGCCTCCGCAGCACTCCTCCTCGCTGTCGCGGACGCCCCGATCGGCAGCAGGTCCAGGTGCAGACCGTGACGCCGTCTGTTGGCGTCTACGGGGGCAGTCTCGTGGATAAGCGCGCCTCGGCGGGCAGCGCCACTCCAGTGGTCCCACACCGCTCCCCCGCGCTCTCTCCAGCCGGTCACTGACTTCAGTCACGGTTGGGGGGGGGGCTTCCGCCACGACGCGGCGGGTCCTCCGACGGGAGGGAGAGCGCCTTCGCCAGTAGGCGCGATGCCAGCGCATCCCTCCTCATCTCTCCATCGGCACGACGCCCGCCTCGGCCCTCACGGCGAGTCTTGGAGCATGGAAATCGGGCAGCCAGTGATGACTCATGCCACCATCAGCATCTCCGCCTCCAGGACGCCAAGATGTGTGGCCGCAGCCGCAGGCAGCCACGCCGACCCCGCTGCCCGCATGCCCAAGTAGTCTCGAATCGCTGACACCTCTCCTGAAACAAGAGTGGTGTCGTAAACTTAAACCCCTTGCTGGAGCCCGCCAGCCGCGACAACACCGCCACACCAATTTTTGTGACCCCGGAACTTCCGTCCCGAGCCTTATTTCACGGCACGATGCTACAGTGCGCTACACGTATTGTGGTATTCAGCTTCCATGGAAACATCAACTAATTTGGACGCTCAAACATGGGAGTCAGGAGTGGTTAAGGCCCAGAGCGTTCTGTCTGGTTTATAAAACCTTGGCCAGCAGATGTAAACGTGCTTTTTGTATAAGTGGCTTAATTTTGACGCAAAAGGGCACTAACCTTCGGCACAAATAATGCAGAAATTTCAGCGCAAATTGCAAAATAGCTTGCGCCGAACTTCGGCGCATGACGGCTTCACGGGCGTCCGGCGTACCATATGGATGTTTTCCAGTTTGGGCTGCAGGTTTTAGCTCTAGGTTTTAGACTGTAGGTTTTGGGTTGGGCTGGGCTGGGCTGGGCTGGGCTGGGTTGGGCTGGGCTGGGCTGGTTGGGGTGGTTGGGGTGGTTGGGTTGGGTTGGATTAGGTTAGGTAAGTTTAGGTTAGTTTAGTTTAGGATAGATATGAATACCTATTTTTTGTAAGTTGAATTATTTTTTTCATTTTGTAGCATCATATGCCTTCCATCTTTGAACTGCCATATTCAAGCACCAGAATAAGTATGGACTTGAACCTTTTCCAGTCTGGATGCCTATATGGAAGTTGTGCAAAATCATGCAGTTGAAGGTATTGTAACCACAAATAAGAGCTCATGACTCAAGTCTCAACTTGTCCATAATTGGTTATCTTGATGTATACTTGTAGACCCTTCCTCTTACTTGGCACACAGGCATGGTGTCACAGTGTTCTAAAATTGGATTTCAATTGGGTGTCCCAATAAAAAAAGCTGAAGACAAAATGAGATAGATTTAGTCTTTCCGCAAAACTGCATAATGCCATTTTTACTTCAGATTTTGTCAGAACCTTCACAGGATCTGAAATGAAATGATGTAGAGTAGATGCATCAACTGTCAAGTCATGCGTAACCTGGCAGCTGGCTGTTGAATCAAACTTTTGACATATTTTTTTAGCAAAGATGAAATAAAGCCACTTGTCATATTTTTAGGATGAAAACATTTTCCCCATCATGTATGGTTATTCACCTAAAATTCTGAAACATGGAACACTGTCATACCAGCATTCCATCATGTCAACCAGCATTCCGCAGCATGTTAGCAGAAGCAGCAGCATGTTATAAGTATATGAAAGATCCAAATAGGTTGTAGGTTGGTAGGTATTGGTACTAAGTTTAACTTAATAGGTTAGTAGGCAAGGTTAGGATTAATTTTAGTTGAGCATCAAGATAACCATTATGAACAAGTAACAAAATCCTTACCTACCCTTGAAAGCATCGCTTCAATCACATCTCCACGAAGAACCAGACAAAATTTTTGCACATTCTTACACTATTTGACATCCTGAATCCAGATATGATGCTTTCATGTGGCGCAAATACAAGAAAACGAATAATCAAACCCGTGCGTATTCGTATCAACGGCGCCACAATTGTAGATCAGACCTTTTCTGAACAATGCCACCACAATTTTAATTGATAAGGGATTAAAATGGCATGAGCATCAACATCTTGATTTTTTCTAAAAGATAGCGATAACTGATAACTAATAACTTACCATTCATTTTGAAATCACGGCGGTAGGTACACCAACACATGGCACTGAAAACAGCAAAAGACGGAATGGCGGAATGTCGTATGGAGCCCTAAAACGCAGCTCGAATGAGCCCGAAAAGGAAGACGAACTGATGCCGCTTTCGGGGCTAATGTACTTTGAGCCCGAAAAGGGCGCCTAACTGATCCCGATTTTAAAAATCATACAGATTTGAGCCCTGTTTTGGCTCTCATATGAGCCCTTATTCAAAAATGTTCTCAAAGTGTTTCTGAGTGATGAAGTGTGCAGATGGTCCTAAATACCTAATAATCATTGGACGGTGATGGAAGGTTGTCAACTTAGGACATAGTGTGTGTGTGGGGGGGGGGAGGGACAGGGAATAAGTCTGTTTTACCGGTTCTGATTCGTGAATCAAAATGATTAACGTTTGTTGCTTGTTAATTTTCTTCTGCATTTTATATTTCTGCTTTTTACTATTTAGTTCTATTATTCTTTATTTTACTTTTTAGGATTCAGTAGCTGGACGTTTTAGCAAATCTAAACGTTTGTTATG